TGGAAGGGCTTCTCCTTGGAGTGTATCAGCTGATGCTCCAGGAGGTTGTTGCGCGCGTAGAAGCCGCTCCCGCACACGTCGCAGTGGTACTTATACTCGAAATTATGTCTGCGCTGGTGGCTCACCAAGTTCTGCCTGTGGACGCTGGCGTAGCCGCAGGTCTCGCAGGTGTGCACCTTCTCCCCTGTGTGCACCAGCTGGTGCTTCCTTAGGACCGAGGGCGTCGCGAAGGACCTGCCGCACTGCTCGCAAGGATACGACACCTTGATCTGTCCCTGGGGGTCCTGGATGTCCAGGGGACCTTCCAGCTCCTCTTTCTCGCCGTATCCTTCCTCGCACGGATCGCACCGGGCCATTCCTTCGGCCACCACGGCTTCCGCGTCCACGTGGTGGAGCGGGTCTGCTATCAGCATTTCCCCGCCTTCGCTAAATACCTTCACGTGCATTTCACTGCCGTCGCACTCCTGCGGCAGCATCGCGAGCTTTGAAACAAAATATCTGAAAATAGAGGAACACAGCCAATCAATTGCCGGTACACACCGAGGCGCTCTTAATACGCGTCGCGCTCTTCTCTTAACCCTTTCGCTACTAACTGTGACTATAGTCACCCAACGCCTGACGCTCGCTAAGAAGTATTCTTCCCAATCGTTAGATATTGCCGTTTGGAATTCTTATTGTTTATACAATTGCGAAACACCCAAAGACATTTCCATAGCTGCCTTTCGTCTTGAATTAATAAGACAAGTATCATGGAAATACCATCAAGACGACTGTAGACAAAGCTCTCCTAGGTCGATAAACATCCTTTTAGGCTTACTGGTAGACCCTTCCCAGCGAGAAAACAAAACGAAAAAGCGGATTGATGTAGTGAATCGTTTGTACTAAAAATGGGGTGCAACGAAAAACGCATTACCGATGTAATACATGTGACGTAGGACTTCGGGTATACCCGTGGTTTGAAACTTTCCATACGAAATTACATTGATTAATTATATTTTCTAGTTGCATTATAAATAAACTTATCTTTCATCCGATATGCATTTGTTTCTCTGCAATTTAATTAAAGCGTTAATAATTTACCCCGCGTCTCTAGACGTTAAAAGATACGTTCTCTCGGCAGTCAGATTTTATAGCGTCTTGGTTGGGATTACCTCGTACCGAGGCAGCGCTTTTACGAGCTGATCCTGAGCAAAAAGTTGACACCTTTTGCGACGGTATATATTCTGATAAATGATAAGCAGGACGTACGGTAGACGTCCGTATACGATCTACACAATGGACAGTCTAACTTTTCGTAAGTGCGCGTTCTTTTTCTATTCTTTTCTATTCGTTGCTATGAAACGGCCACGTGGTCGACGACACCGACTGTCAAACGCCTATGGATCCCCAGCGGAATATTAAAAACAAATTCAAAAAAAAAAATCCCACAGGCGCCAATCTGCCGAAAGGATTAATTACCAGGTCCATTTCGGTTAGGTCGAAGGTCTCCATAAATTTCTTTGGATTATCGCCTCCTTTTAGGAAAGAAAAAAAAAAGAAAAATAAACTTAACACGCCTACCTAGAAATCTGCTTTTCTTTTAAGCGAACAGTCTTTGGGTGTCAATTATCACGGTGGTTCCCACCCTCTAAACCGACTAATTAGCACGTATGAAAAGAAGCTCCTTATTCATCGATGCACTGTGACATATGTCGGAAACAAAATCGGCGATATAGACACCTTGGACAATTTGTCAGATTTTTAAGTTTTATTATCAGCACCTTATCTACGGATGACGGCATTTGGCGTCAAATTGAATACTGTTATCAGTCACGAATGACGTCGTTTGGCGTTATATGAATGTCATCTGTATTTTTTTTAATCCCATCTTAGCGATAGAAAACTAACGTCATGACCCCGTTGATAAGGTGTAAGTACTGGAATACATAGAAACGTACTTCCGACACCCTTTTACTTTTATTCAACACCCCCTCATTTGCATCCCGAGATTGCCACTGCTCCCATCGTTGATTTAGATTTTCATCTTTAACATCCGATATTAAAAGATTTATATGCTCTTCAAGTGATCAAGCACTCGAGCTTAAGGACAGGTTGCAATAAAAGCGGTGGCTGGGTTTTCCAAAATCATTTTTATTTCTTCTCATAGATCTTCTCTTCCGGGCGACGTTGGTAGATCCTAATCTCCCGAGTTCAACGTCGAAAATGAAATGTAGATCAATATGTAAAAAAAAAAAAGAAAAAAAAAGTATGTGAAAAGATATAGGCTTTCCCACATTGGTATCGTATCCATATTTGATCAGGCTCTTTGCTTCTACTTTGATAACATACATAACAGGCATTACATATTGATCTTTGATCTATTCTCAAAATTTTGCTACATATATTAATTAGAGAAAGAACAAAGCGTGGCTTATGTAAACTCAATAAATTTGATAAAAGTCGTACAAAACTGTTATCACGAAACGGTAACCAATTTGCAGGATTACTTTCTAATGATTTATCTAAAGGATCGTTCAATCCGATGTAATCAATTTTATAATTGTTTATATTCTGATGCCTAATTACTTGTACCGAGATCGCCCCCGATACAGTATCGCACCCTAGTATCAGAATTTCGTTAAAATTAAAAACAAAATATACGCCTTTAATATAAAATTCAAAATCTGCCCTGATTACTCAAAACTCCCTTACAAAAATACTTACCCCTTTGCAATTACAGCGTACCGGCATACCGCCACTTTGTTGGCCATTTACCTCTGTTGTTACTGCAAATATCGCTATTGGGTACAAGCCAATTTCAAAACATATTTTTTATCTAAAAAATTTTTCCCTTACTTACAAAATGTCTAGAACAGAAATAGTAAAATTAAAATAAATTAATACCCTCGTGCTCGCTTTTGTCGCAATTGCGTCTGATATAAAACGGACTGCTCTATCAAAATATAGTGAAACATCTAACACTATTTTTTTTTTTTTTTATAATACTAGAACTTCAGCACTAGACCTAGATTTTTTACTTTGGTGGGAAATCTAAAATGTTATTTTTACAGATTTAATTGCGTTGTTAAAAATGTGAATTCTCACTTGCGCGAATATTTCAAAGGCCATTAAACTCTTTTGCTCTCTGGAAAATAATTGTACTCTTATTTCAACAATTCACTTTCTTTCTCTTGAATTTGCAGTTTTCATTGTGAGGATCATTAACCGCATTTATTCATATTCTTTATATTCGATCTAAGTCCACACTGTATTTAGTCGACGTCAACAATTCTAATGCGTAATTTTTTCTTTTATAGTAAACTAAGTTTCCATTGCTCGAGTCTAATAGTCAATTAAACTAAATTTGTTCACTTTTTTAACACACGGGGATTGACTTTAATGGCTACTCTTACCTTTCGACGTCTTCCGATGAAGTTGCTCCAGAAACATTTGTTATGGAAGGTTCGAAGCCAAAACCGATTTAAAGATCATTATTAACTTAAACCTTTGGGTGATTTTATATTTTTAATAAGTTCTCTCTTGGCCACGACACAGAAATCTCTTAGGATAGAAAGAAAAAAAACGAGACATTCCAAATCAAAAGGAACATCTATAAAGGAAAAAAAGGAACACGAATAACTCCGACTTCCCGAGCTCAATGAACGCTTCATTGTTATTAAATACCGTTTTGCAATTAATTCAAACGACGGGATTACAATTAATTTCCAGACATCAACGAACGTGTTAAACAGATGCACGGAAATCAATTTGTACTTTTTACCCGATAGTGGTACGATTTATACATATTTCATTAAAACTACTGGGTAACATTTATAATCCATTGTTTTGAGATAGCATCTCTTAAAAATTCGAGAAATTTATGAGTCAAACTTGCTTTCGCACCAGAGCCGAAAAATGTTCAATAATTCCGACAGTCGATAAACATATCTTACCTTATATCGTCTTTCACCTCGGAACGTTAATTATTTTCTCTATAAAGAGAACAAAGCGCCGACAAATTAAATATACGCACAATATAAAAGAATCACGTTGGTCCACAAGTTCTAGCTGTTTAAATACTCCAAAGTTAATCATATAATTTTTTTTCTCAAACGGGGGATCGAAAAATTGCATGAACGTTAGGCAGAAGTTGTGAACAACGAAGAATGTGCATTATGGATTAATATTATTTAATTTTACTTTTTCATAACTCCTTTACACACCGATGAAATGAACGGCAATGTATTTTCCAGGTAGCACAAGGACGTAAATATAATGCCACGGTTTTATCAAAGCTTATGTCAAATTTCATTATGACAGTCAGATGATATAAAACTGAAGTTATTGTTATAGCTTAATATCGACGTTACGTCAATATAACCGATGAAAAATAAATAGTGACTAGAATGAAGGATAACGATTATTCCATGCTTGATTTATATCTCCTATTAAATGCATGTCTTCATTTTGTATATAAATACTATAATTATTTCTTTGGCATAACTTAATAAAGAGATATTTATACACCTCCGCGTGTATCTATTCTTACTTTAGATATGAATGAAAACAAGAGAGTAAATATATTATTAAAAATAATTGAAGAACGCAGTGAATGTAAACATTCCCTTTCGAGTTTAATGGCGTTAATTGGTTAATTGGAATAAACGAAAATGAAACAGATAAACAGTTGTATGACTAAAATGGGACATTAAATTGACGTCATATTTAGGACGTTCTATTAACTTCATTAAATGTAATTTTTTTTATAGTTTTGATATATGACGTCGTAAATTGTAAATGATCAAGTGTCATTACACCATTGTGCCACCTGGGTTAACCACGTATTCCGGACGTCCATGTATGTCAAAGGATTAAAATACATTTTTTTTTTTAATTACAAAAAGAATCAGCAAGAACTTATGGGACAACCCAACACATGTGCATACTCTTTTTGTACTTAAGTGTCTATTTTTCGAAGACACAAGTCTACCTCTACAAAAAAAAAAAAAAAATGCGCTAAAAACCATCATGAAGTTGCCTGAAACGCGTACAATATATTTGATATATTGTACATTCACTATGACCAAGCGTCAACGTTCAATCAACGTATCTGAACGCTTTTCAGAGCGATGGATTGTAAATTAACTCATTTCTCCATTTAAATTCCAAAAAGTGGCTAATTGGCCATTCTATCCTAAATTCAGGATTTTCATGACTCATTGTTAAAATTTTCGTCATTTCCCGCTCTTGAATCCACAAATTCAATGGCAACAAATACAATCGACAGCAAACGCAAGTCTCTCCCATATACAGGAAACGAAGCGTTAAATTAAATAGAACTTACCCATTTCTGGATACTTTCATTGATCTCCATAGGATCTCTCTACTTTAACACGAATTAACTATCTATTATTTCGTATCGATTATACTAGTACGGGTAATTTTCATTACAGCGTCCTTTGCTGACAAATTTGACACTATTCACTATTGTCGACTATACGAGTAATTCCACTAAGTTATTACGACTGCACGACATGAATCTTATATCAACTAACATTTAGCCACGATTAAGCGTCATCGTTATTGATATGATTCGGTAGAGTTCGGCTATCCTTTGATGCTGATCTCAACACCCTACCGTTCATTAAGGCACGTAGAGATCCCTGATTAGTGATAAGCAAAAACGGTCTGTCTGCAAAAAGTGCAATTTCCTTCAACTTAACTCCGTCAAGCGTTTATCATTCATCATTGATCGATGCTTTATATATAAATATCTTAAAACGTTAGCGGACTTACTTCAAACAATGCAATATTTTGGAAGAATGAATAACGTTCTTGTCCCAAAGTAGAATTTGACAGATTTATAGTAAATCTGATACTTTCCTCCAAAATTCTACAACTTACCGGTAAACTCATTTATCACCTTGGAATATCAATTCACCACTGACAATCTCTCGTATCAAGTTATCAAATACACCATTGTGTCTAAGAAATTATTTAACTTTAATTGACATTTTCAGTCAACTTCGTATATGAAACATTTTCAACAAAGTCGTATCCACGTGGCACGAAAGTGTCATCCTTTGACTATCAACACCGATGGCTCCCCCAAGATCAATTTTGCGGGTGCCAAGAAATACGTTAATTGTTACAAATAATTGATCTTGCCAATTCGCAATACCAAGACCAATCTTGCTTATCACTTACTACTTTGACGACGCTCAACCCAGGTAGGACAATTACTCGATCGTGAAACCTACCTGAACGACTGAAATGAGCCATCGGTGCCGGCATCGTATCGAAATCACATAATCATTTAATGCACCGACGTCCACCTAGCCAGCCAACGTTAACACCTTGACCCAGCGAGCTTGATAAGCGTTCGCAGGAAAAAAAAAATGTAGATCAACGCATTTTGCACGTCCTAGCGACTCTCAGCGCCCGGCTTACCAATCCCGGGAGGTTCGTCAAATTTTAATATTAAATTCTATTTTAACTATATAAACGTATAAACGGTATCACAGGGACGACATCGACGTATACGTTTCCAATCTATCGTGTTGCGAACAAATCCGAAGTCTACGAACCGTCTCATCTCCGTTCTACGACGGCGAACAAGAGGGGAGACGAAACTCACGTGCAGGCAGACAGAAATTGACTAGTTTAAAATTGTTAAAAAAAATCCTGCAGCGTCATTTATAAAACCTACGGCGGTAAATGAAATTTCTATCGATTGACAAAAATGATAATCCACATTCGCAGTATCTCACTCTCCTTGAATCATCGATTCCACGTGGGGTCGCAAAAATCCACGACGGCTTTTTTGCAAAAGCGATCCCATCATAGGAGACATTTGATAGCAACTTTTGTACACCCTATGAATTTACTAAATCCCTTTTTTCGTTACTTGTTCTTAATTTTTTTTTTCAAAACATTTCAGACCACACCTTCAAAATTTGACTCAATATCGTTTCCTGGTTGAGGAAGAAAAACAGTGAAAAAAAGTGTAAAGCTCGATTTATACACGACCTATCAGTATCTATCTTGTACATTGGCGAACATGAGTGCCTTCCTTGCAGATATGGTACCGCCAGTGTAAGGAAAGAAGGCATTCATGTCTGTCAGTGTACAGTACGGATACTAATGGGACGTATGTAAATTGACCTTCCTACTTTGCAATTCAAATGTACGCTACGTGTTGGGTCATAGCTTGCCGAATGGCATTTAGCAACAAGTAGCATCAAATTGATCAATGAAAGAAATATCTCGGTTAAACTATTCCCGTGGTCTAAATATAGATGCATCAAAGTTATCTTGACATGTACCTTTAGAACCACCGACTAATTCTGGAAAATATTGAGGAATCTATTAAGGTAATATGAAAGTGTGATATATATACATATCAAAAAGTAAAAAATATTTCACTTAAAATTCAAGTACTCCAGATGCAAGTCTGATAAAGCTCGCGCAACAAATTTCATACCAAAGTCAAACGGTATTTAATCAAGTAAAGAAAGAAAAAAATTTTTTTTTTCGACAGTTCATTACGTAATTCCACGCAAAAACATCTATTAATCTATCCGCTTTACTGGTGTTACCCCAAATTTTCGAAAAACCTTTTTATGGCAGTCACAGGGTTCATCCTCCTAATAACCTTTGGTCCATATATACGTTCGTCAAAGAACCGTTTTTAGTCTCTTCCTGAATAATATCGACAAATAATAAGTACCTAAGACCCAAGGTAAAATCCGTTTTAAGCCCCTTTAACCTCCTGATTGTAAAGCCCTTCCGCCCAACGGGCTAAATTTATGAACACGTAGAGGTATAATGCCGAACCAAAGAACATGGACATAGAGTTACACCGGGAGACATCAATGCGCTCCCATCCTGCACAGGCGATGCCGTATCAGCAGGGGAGGCATTCATGTCCGCCACTACATCTCTCGCGGTCAAAGGGTAAAGAAACTCTACGATCGCTACAAAATGAGCATCCTCTCTCTCAGGTCCTGTCCTAGCTCCCACAGCCCGAGAACCTAGTGCTTCTTCGAGTGATTAAGCATAATAGTCCTGGTGACGAATCCCTTCCCGCAAAGGGTGCAAGTGTACGGTCGCTCCCCGGTGTGATAGCGCCGATGGACCGTAAGGGTGGAGGCCTGGGTGAACGACTTGCCGCACATGGCGCAGAGGTAAGGTCGTTCCCCGGTGTGAATGCGCTGATGGACCACGTAGTACTTCCTATGGGTGAACCCTTTACCGCATACGTCGCAGACGAGGGGCCTGGACCTGTGGACGGCCTTGTGGCTGGTCAGGGATTCCGGGGTGGCGAACTGCTTGGTACAGGAGTCGCAGGGGTAGGAGGTCGGAGGTTTCTCGGGAGCGGATGTGGCGGCGACCCCGGAGGCAGTGATCCTGGACGTGGTGACGGGATTCGGCAGGGCGTGGACCTGGACGGGTCGGTGGGTCTTGGTGTGGTGGTTGTACAGGTTGCGGGTCTCGAAGCGCATGAAGCACCTGGGGCAAGAGTAGGGCTTCTCCTGGTCGAGGTCGTGCATCTTTCGGTGGCGCTCGAGGAGGGTCCTGTAGCGGAAGCTGGCTTGGCACTTGTCGCAGCCGAAGGACCTCTCCGACTCGGAGGAATGGGTCACCTCGTGCATTCGTAGGTGGCTCTGGGCTAGGAAGGTCCTGGAGCAGACCGTGCAGGCGAACTTACGGTTGTTCTCGGGCTGCTCGCAGGACTGCCGGTGGCTCGTCCTCACGTGGTAGTTGAGCTTAGGGACGCTCCGGAACTCCAGGCCGCAGGTGGAGCACATGTGGCACTCGATGGGGACCGGGGCTTGCTCCGGGGAGGGCGAGGTCATCTCCTGGGAGTGCGGTAGCATGGGATAGGAGAACATCTGCGAGGAGCCGTGGGTCATGCCGGAGCAGACGGTTTCGGGGGACGGAGATAGGATCTGTCGCAGCATCCCCGACAACCCGCCGAACGTCTCGCTCTCCCTGAAAGGACATAATCCTGAGGACATCGCTTAGGAGCCTGGGAGTTCACGTCCAGGATGCCGATATATATGCCGTGGTTGCTTGCTTTTTTTTTTCTTTTTTTTTTTTTTTAACGTGGCTAGAGCTGCGCTTCGGCACAACGCGAACAGGCGGTGAGAGTTGCAAGGTGGTCGTGCAAGGTGCGCTTTGCTGCTATTTATGGCTGGCCGAGACGACACGTTTGCGACTTAACGGATATTAGACGTGCATTGAGCTCGAGAAACGGTCACCATAGAATTTCCTAGGAGCTTCCCGATCCTCGAGGTCCCGGGATACCTCGAGTCGACGAACGTTCTGATAACCTCCCAATCACCGAAATACTTACGTTCAAAACCTTCCTGGATAGGAAATACCTTGCCGTGAACGAAACGCTCAGTTTCGACATACGAGTGGTATAGAAAACAAAATCGACGAGATACGTTGCGACTTTCTTACCCTGTCGCCAACAATCCTAAGATGCCATACTCGACACCTCATTTAACTTCGCAGATTTCTTTTATACTTATCAACGAAAAATCGGAGAAATTATAGCTTTAAACGGAATGGACCAATGTGGAAAAACTTGACGTCGAGTATCGACGAAACAATTGGTTCTCGAGTAAGAATGGATCGAGGGATTCGTCGACTTAACGTCTAATATATATGAATAAAAAATCTCACCTTTATTTACAGGGATCCAAAGTGGCTTCTTCTTCTTTTTTTCTCATCGCCCATCGTGATTCGGCTTTTCCTCAAACGTCGTGTCTCTTTGCTTCTTCTTCGCTGCATTGGCACTTTGGGAACTCGCGATCGAAAAAATTCCTCGAAGACTCGACAAAAAAGCAGTCGACATCTTCGAAACACCGTAAAAGGTACAAAATGAAGGAAGTCTAAGAACTCCCTTCAAACGAGTACATTTTCATCATACCGATACACTATTTAATACCATTATTGATATGAAAATAAATTGCCGCCGTTAATATCGTCCTTATCGGCAGCCAGCAATTGGCGCACTGTTATCAATCCTTCATTTAAACAATCAATCAAAATGAACAGATCACTAACACGAAATCAAATGAAAATCTGTTAAATTCATTGGAAGAAAATAAATAAATAAATAAAAGATGATAATAAAATATAAAGTATAACATGTTTAAATAATAAAAAAAGAGAGACTGAAAGAGTGCTCCCCCACGACCGATTGATTTGAACAAATGAACGCCATTAATGAATTGAAATAGCCAATTGTCCCAATAGTTGCACTTCATTCAAATAATCGACGTGGTGAAGAAAACCTCCATAACTCATTAGACATTAATTTAATCACGAAATTATGAATATTCATTCCTAAACTCCTTAAACGTCTCTCTGCAAAACGCGGAGAATCTTCAAATCCGCTGCATTCAGACCATGGGAGCCTAACAGGATGAAAAGTCGTGTCGGTAAAACTTAAAAAGACCAAAAGAAAACCAAAAAAAAAGAAGAAAAGCAGCAGTATACAAGAATCATAGGATCTTGTACACACAAGTCACGCGAACCACATCGGTAAACGTACGACCGATGGAAAGTTGAGTCACAAGCTTGCAAAACGGCGCTTGTGATCAGGCATAATTTGTTGCAATATCGAAAGAGGAATCACCATACGGGGAATAATACAGATAGAACAGTGTATAAAAAGGGTCGGTCGACAATCGCGAGAAAAATCAAGACATCCGGTTTAAATACAAGAAACCAAAATCGGGAAGGCGAGTGATATCAGTGAATACAAGAAACGGGGGGGGGGGGCAGGAAGGGGGGAAAGAAGGGTGAAGTCATAGAAAAAGGAATACTCGCCTTTGATTTATTCCCAGATCCATCGGCGACCATTTTCCGCGGTCCAGATCCATCGGCTGCTCCAGAGGTGTTCATCTTCTTCGGAACTGTCTTCGTCTTCTGATCATGTATCTACGTTTCTCGGCAATTCTTGCACAACCCCGCAGACCGAGAGTTCTTCTCCACGGCGCGACACTTTTAATCTAACTTTCGTTGATTTTCTTTAATAGCGCCACGTAGCCGCCACGTGGCCGCCACTCTGATAGTTTCGGCAAAAACGACATGTGATATTTACTTTTACGAACCGCTCCGACATGTACACGTACCGAGAGATTTCCGTCGGGCGTAAAGATAATTCCGATGCTTAATGAAGACATTTTAAATACGCTTAGGCTAAATCGCAGTACCGGCAATCCTGGCGGTAGGAAAGGATAAACAAAGAACGCGAAACCGGCGGGCAAAGGGCCGATTGGAGCGCTTCAATGTATCGAGATTAATTGCAACCGAGCATTCCTCGCGGTGGACTTTTGTCGGATTTTAGGACTAAGATCAGACGTAATGTACGACTGAACGTATATATATATATATGTATAGAGCTATCGATTGTCAGTGTCTTTTCGGCCAAATCTTGGCCAAGTGCGGCATTAGTGCCTTTACGTAAGCGTGGGAATGTTATATCGACAACACGTAACGTATTCATCATGAACTGAGGGATAGAATAATTTTTCTTCTCTTTTTTTTTCTCTCTCTCTCGTATCGGTGACTATCACGAAGCAAGAACACGATCAAAACCAAATGTACCCATCTTTGTCGTCCGTCGAAAAAAAATTGTCCGGAGACAACTGATGAAATCCCTTGGTCCATAATACAAGTAATATCTATCCATGGTGTTCATTTCAACGAGATGTTCGCTTTGCACAGTGAATTACTTCTTAAGCACTTTGAGCGTCGAAACATGTGCCGATATATCTCATTGGAATGCACGATACATACATGCTATGTACACAAGGAAAAAAAAAATACATAACGAAAGGAGTTTAGCAATTTCGGTTTCTCAAAGAGTCTCTCTTCCCCTCGACCTTATCCGTCAGGAGATTAGTGGAAATAAATTCTCTCTTAGTTATCAAATGGGCGATTCACCCGAAAGTATCCTTCTAATGACGAATTTAACCGGCCATTACCAAATTGCTAAACGCCTAGAGCCAAAGATGGTTGTGGGGTGTGTGCGCACTTACCTTGTACTCCTCTGCACCTTATCAATAGAAGCGATAGGTGACTAACTCTGAAGTGTACTATAGTTCTCCACTGCCGTTCAAGACCTCCAAATAATGCGTACTTTTAGTCGTCTAAGAACGCCGAGCTAATATACAGCCATTATCCCATTTCCCAAATACAAGTACATCATTTGCGCGGATACAGGAAGAACGATTTAAACAAACGGGTGTAGAGTACAATTGGATTCAAACCAATCTGTACTATTGTTTCCAATCTGAAACGTTGGGCTTATCTCGCAACTTATGAACCGATTCATCTTGGCAGGAAACAATCTATCCGATGCTGGATTCGAACCAGCTATTAATATAGAAACATCATATAGCATTGCACGTTTGATAAGGAAATGGCTCATCTTACCCTGAACTTCACGTAAATAAATACTATGTAATAATCAATTTCTTTTCTTTTTCCTTTTTTTTTTTTCATAAAATATACGTTCAGTACTTCCTGTCGATTTGTTCAGTCATCTCTTGTGTAGTATAAATGTTCGTGATCGCCACAACAGTACCGCACCTTTGGCTCTCGAATATTTGGCAAATAAAGGAAGGAAAACTCACCCAGACTTGGGATCGGCATCCGTTGGCTGTGGTATCGTCATCTCAGGCATCTCAGTAATCTTCTGTTGTTGGAGCCCCGAAGGACCAGCTTCGTCACATGCCAGCGAAACGTTGACAAACGTCGTAGGTTCGATAGTTCGACTACTGCTAGGGTCCTCTTCGCTCTCTTCTTTAACGGGTAGGCCTGTAACAAATGAAAGCAAATTTTCATTAACATTCTTCCAGGGATCCTCCAAAATAAATCGTTATCATTTGATGATCATTCAATGGAATGTTTAAAATAAACGTTCTTGCTTCTGCAGTATTTTGCAAGTATTTTTACCATGTTTTGTCAATTGATTATTTAAAACTATTTTTAAAACCATTTAACGTTTTGACAGAAGGGTCGTAAGAAAATAATATTTAAAAAAAACGAAAGGCTTTCCTGAATGCAATGAATGATTACCTTCATCTCCGTCGCACTCGTCGTCGGAGTTTTCATCCTCTTCGCTAGTCTCCTCGTCTTCTTCTTGTGGTGCAGAAGCATTTACTTGATTCTGCGCCATTTGGTCGTGAGTGGCTTGCGTACTAGGTCCTGGCACTGCCTGAACCGTTTGTACTGTCGTACCACCGGTGTCCATAGGAACTGAGGTCATTTGTTGTTGACTGGCAGTGGGTATCATCATGGGCATGCCCAACGTCATGTTGTCGATAATACCCATACCCATACTAGCTTGATGTCCAGCGACTTGCTGCATCACGCTACCATCTAATCTATTCTCACCGCTTTGTTCTTGCTTCATCACATTCTGTAATACATATTAGAACAAATCTTATAACCTCAAATCTTTCAGCACACCCAGCACCGTTCTCTCCAGAAAAAGTAAAACCTAACCTCATGACAAATAAAAATTGTAAAATATTCATTTAATATATTCATTTCACCATTTATATTCAATATTTCATGCTGAATATAATTTTGTTTGAACAAACTTTATTTGTCATTTAAGCTAGCAAATGAGTAACAATTCTGGGATGCAAATTAATTGCCAAGTTCTAATCTGTTTAATCTTAGAGTAAAGGAGGTAGTTCTGTGGGTTAAAAAATGAACAACTCAATAATGCTTATAAAATGCTTACGAAGTGGGAAAATAAACTCACAAGAACGCTTTATGAAGTCACGATTTACCAAAGTAACCCACATGAATGTCAAGAAATAAAATAGCATCGATCTCAAGAAAGTTGAAGATCATGTTTTCCATTTTCATACTTTTAATCCTAAAATATCACTCCGTACGAGGGGTCCAATTTTATTCTATCGAATTGAACTATTTACCGGGTTGAGGACTCCCGTTACGTAGGTTTGTTTGTCCTCCTCCAGTCCAACTTCTCCTAGCCATTGCAGAAGCTGCTTCTCCGCGTTCGCGGTCGTATTCCAAAATTGATAAAATAGTTCTACTTTATACACACAGTCATCACATATTTTCTTGGGTAGTTTGTCTTCTCTGGCAATCTGTAAATGTCAAATAAAAACATTGATCAACTTATCAGTCTTTTCCAATCAACATAAGATTTTATATAAAGAACGTGCAGTCTTAACAGATCAGTTTTAACAAGAAATTATAACCATCCAATTATTCCCTGAATTTAAATGACATGACAATCAACGAATTAAAACAAAGATACGAATGAATATACTCAAATCCCACCATTTACTAATTTCTCTCCAATAAACTCATTTATATTTATTTACATTTACTGACGACTCAATCATTTTATTCCTTTCATTCTTTCATTGAAGAAAGACTGCGAAATCAAGGTAACGTTGAATCAGGTTTGCATAAAATAAAATAAAACAAAATGTAAACCAGAGGTACTAAAATTTATCCATCAATGTTTCAATTATTCTAACAAGGAAATGCATCTAAGGCACGTATTCATAATCCTCTACATATGCTATTAAACCTTACATATTTACGAGAAATATATAAAACATATAACGAACAAAAGGAATCTAAGCTTTCAGAGATATCGAAGGAATAATTTTCGGATCGAAAGACGAAATGCCGCTCTGCGAATCATGTTACCCCTAACATCATTTTAGGCGGATTAAATCACGAAGAACCGGCAAGAAAATGCCGAAGAATGCGTGAGCATCGATTCCGCAGGTGGAGAAAAATCATTGTAACCGCCGCCATTTTCGAACGGCATAACGGAAGGTAAACGGTATGGAAAATGACGCCCACGGGTACGATCGGTCGTTGCTATGCAGGACGAAAGGGTCCACAAAAGAAATAGACCGCTAAATATCTAACGTGTAATCACGCAGCCTTCGATATCGAACCTGAAAATTGCCGGCGTCGCGCATTCATCGAACATTCGACCCGCCGCAATTCGACCTTCTTTCTCGGACCGTCGGCGTCGCCATGCCGCATAAAATAAAGCAATAATTCCCTGGAAAAATAGTCGAGCGCCGAGTACGCACTAACTTAATCATTAGAAAATGAAATCGGTCTCCGAGCAGTCCTCTATTAGATGAAGAAGCAGGAAATAGAAGCGAGATGCCGGGCGATGCTCGACTCGCCTCCGGAGCGTCGCCATGTCGTACGAAATGCGATACAAGGCTAACGACCGCAAAAATGTCGGAAAAGCATCGAGCCCAGATTCCGCACTTTGGGGGATAGAAAGGGCCGCAATAGATACCTTGCCGTAGCCTCGTCTCCGGAGAAGTTCCACGATATAACCTCGACCACGGAGACAAGGCACGTATTCATGAATACCATTCGATACCGCGTCACCAGGCCGAGATGAGCAACCGTTGGATAATCATGGCGTCGCCGACCACAGGTGGGGAAAAAGACGCGTCGACATTCCTGGGAGAATCGGCCTTAAAACCGGTGGACGCCGGTTGGGCGGGGACCTCGGAAAGCGCGTTCAAGGCGGAAAAAGTTTGACGAAAGGAATCGTGGGGGATAACGTCTACTTTTCCGAGGGATAAAGGATACGGATCGGCGGAGTCGTGGAATCGCCAAGATGGCGGCCATGCCAGTCGGTGGCGTAGTAGGCTTACCTTGACCGGCAGGCAGGCTGCAATTTTGAGGAAAATCTGCCTGACGTCGCCCTCGCCCTCGAAAATCGGCACGGAGACGCGATCTTTCACGAGACACAGCCGGCACAGGTCCAAATAGTCGAGGGAGGACATTTTCCCACGTAAAACGCCAGTTCGAGACGCAGGCCGCGCCCGTGGACGCGAACGCTCTTTTACCCAGGCCGGAGAAGACCCGCGTCGCTCGTTGCGCGTCGTTCGCTCACCGCTCGGCGCCCACCTTCGGCCGCTTCCGTCGGCGCTCGGCTATCTCCGGCGGGCACTCGCCGCCGAACCCGTATCGATCCACCAATGCCAGAAGCCGGCCGACGCCGGCAGACGCCAACCGCCTTTACCCGCCAGGGCCGTGCAACCGACGAGTCGGTCCTGCAGACCTGCTCACCTATCGCAACCTACTGCGTTGGCAGCTTGATCATTAATTTCCACACATTCTCCCAATCTCTTGCTAAATTAGAGGTCGATTATTTACTACCGAAGGATCTAAGTATCTCGAACATTTTTTCTCAATATTGTAAACCTGACTTATTTTATCTGGTCTTTGTCAAATGTACTATGGTACACTTGGAAAATATAGCCGATTTCTATTTTTCTATGAAGAGAAAACGATTTAAAGTATTTTTGTAATTGAACGAGGAAGCAAGATGTATTTAGCCAAGTTTTTTTAAAATATCTACGGTGCTTCTTCAGTTCATTCTAACTGTGACTACGATTGTATCTGATAGCGTCATATGTTCCTTACAACTACCACAAAGATCCTGGGAATGAGTGAAATCTACACCCTTGTAAATTAATAAAATGTGTAACAAGAACTGGGGGTGTATTTAATTTTATATAGTATTTATTAGAAATTATTCAATAAATGTGCAACGATGAAACGAGGAGATTCATTCCACGTGACGGGGCCGAATGGAAGAATGGTCATACAGATTTGTGCGTACGTATATATATACCGTGGCAAGAACTTATACGACGTTGATTATTTACCGGTACTGTATTAAGTACGAAGTACGCATGAGAAAAAGCACAGGTGGCGTTTAAAACTTCCATGAATATCGAACGATCGGTCTTAGGATGTTTTTTAAACGTCTGTTCGTTAGTCCGGTACCTGACTATAAACTTCTGGGTCGGAACCACTCTGCATCGATTTAGGAGACAAGTAATCAGAATTTCCATTTAAGAACTACATGATCCGAAGAGACCGATTTAACGAACGCAACCATTTTTATTGAATACCGAAATACGTACGGAATAATTTAAATGGAAATTACAGGGTTGGCTAATGAGCCTTGCGACGCTAACAACACCCTTTTCAAGTTCACTTTGGCTTATTAAATTATAACCTCGGTCAATACATTCTCCTTTTCTTTGATCTATGCCCATCTATCGGATAGCCTCACGATGCGTCTCTGCAAATTTTTCTTGAATTTTAAAAATAAAAATGTAAAGCATCGTGATCATTCAATTTCATTGTATTCAAATGGCTCTAAAATCTAGCGAAGGTCGCGATACGTCTCGTAGGTGAGTCGATTAATCGAATGAATCCTCGATCTTTCTTCCTTCGGGATCTCGTCCTGCGTCGCCATCCTCGCTTTCAAGTTGTTTAGGTTATCTCAAGAGCAAGATGGGGGTGACGTAACCTAGAAGAGAAGCAATGCGCCTTTATTCGGTAATATGTAAAGGCCTGTTGAATTTTATATCTAATAATTTTCTATCTAAATTTTACCTCTGACGAGTTTCTCGGTGTCAGGAGGAACGACCAGGGCCCGGGTCGAAGAAGGCACGGACGTGCAGACCGGAATATAGAAACGCGACTATACCTTCCCATCCACGTCGACCGCGTCCTCCGTCGGAGCGGTCGCGATGTACCCGGGCACGTACTCTCTCCTGATTGGTCGATCGAACTTATGCGGCGCCGGCTGACCAATGGGAGCGCGGCATTGCCGCTGGGGCTGCCCCACCACCTGTCGGCCGCACGAGGGACAAAATAAAGCCGGATCGCCGAACAAGAGTCGCGTCGTTACCAACGGTCACGAGGAGAGAGGGGAGGGCGTCGCGACGCTGGAACGTCAGCGGGACGAGGGAGGGGGACTAGCTTCGCGATACCGCGACGTCTTCCTGACCACCGCTTAAGGCGATACGAAAGACGACGAGATATTTAATCGACTGTGGTAAGAACGATTCTTCTGGCCGATGTACATTGGCGGACATTTGTTATGTGGGATTACTATGGTGTTCTAAACCGTTGGGTCTAAGTCCTGAAAATCTTCCCTTTGGATTCTAAACTTTCAAATTGCGTAATATATCAACAATACATGTCGATGATGCCATTTTGGTTCTAGCCTGAGATAAATTAAAAAATGTAAAAAAAATGAAATTTCACGGGTGTATGAACCTTTCTTAGAGACTTCAGGTTCACTAGGTAGAATTTCAAACGATTCGGTGCACTTAGCTCGGAGAAAAGTTTTATAAATAATTTCATGCCTGAGAGGCAACATTTATATCACCTTGAAGATCGCGGCTTGGTTAATGGGAAATTGGAGGTAAAATGTTTAAAATAATGTCGAGAAAGTTAAGTACGTTTTTATTATTATTTATCACTCACATCGGAACAGTCGTAGGACAAGCAATGTGACATTCAAATTCAACAAAATCTAAAGATGTGGCATGAATATCATTCCGATGACCGGTTTTAATATTAATCCGTAAAAGCGATGCGAAAAAATGTATTTTCTTCTAACGTATTCGTTATTTTACCACTAATCGATGGAAATCCGAATTCGCGAAATTCTAACGGAAGCTATTTTAGAATAATAATAATGATATCGGAGGCTAGAGCGATTTCGGGGGGAGGGGGAAGAAGGCAGTTGGCTGATAAAAAAAGACCACACCTCGATCTCGGTAAGGGACGGCAGATTCTGCCGTACGAGGGCCACGTCCATCTCTCCGTCTTTCTCGACTCTTCGGTCTCGGGAAGACAGTCGGCGCATTGGCGTACTTACCGACGGGCCCAGTGGCGGCTCCTCGACTTTCTCGTTTCAAGCCATATAACGTAGAGCTTCGACAAAGTCACCTACAATGGTCGGCTTAACACTAAAATTACCAAGACTAGTCAAAATGACTGGTTTCAAATGGCCCATCTTATGGTTGGTCCTATATAGTCGTTAGAATGATGAATTCACGGTATTTCGACAGTTTTACATCCATCTTTTTATCATTATTTTACCGGAATGACATATAGAACGCTTCATTTCGTATAATTATCAGCGTAGACTGTAAAAGACTTCGATATAAATATAATTGTCGGTAACGGGTCGCGGTAGGTTATGTTCCCATTTGAGTATTATATATAACGAAACGGCACTCCCACCAAAAGGGGTATAGATGAATTTTATTCAATCGACGTCGATGAAATTTCTCAGCGGCTTTGATATCACCTTAATTAGTAAAGAAATGGGAAAGAAGAAGTCATCTCGGAGGAAAGCCGCAATATTACATAAAAGTTCCATTAACGATAAAGTTAAATAATGCCGTGACGTAGGAATGAACTTCTTTATTTCCTCGAGTAAATCATATAACATATATCGGAGGGTTTGACTTCCGGAAATGAGTCCAGAACTCTTCTTGGGAAACAACGCGCTTACGCCTGCCTGAGGGCGGGATCATTGAAACGTGTGAGTATTAGTTTAAAAAAAACTGCTTTATTGTGGCAGAACACATGTATTATCATATACCAGCATATAATTAGGAAGTTGATAGTAATTTATAAATGACGATTTCCAATCGGAGGTTCGGTGTACGTGTGGCGGGGTCAACGGGCAGATTTCGGGAAGTGGAACTTTCGCCGAAAGTCGAACTTTCGTTGGAGCTCCAGCGACGCCATTAGCTCGGACGCTCCGAGATTATTAACGGCCGCGGAAGCCCTCGGGGGAGTTCCGATGTCCTCGCGCACGAGGGCTGCGTATCGGTATATTGAAAATAATAGATATGTCGTATCGCTTCGTCCCGTTAAAATCTCATTGTTCTCGGGGGTGAACGTGATCTCGTTCCAACGGCGCAGTCCGCTCGGATTATTCGGATCATTCGGAAAGTCCCGGGAATGCCGGTCCTCGGAAAGCGCGCTTCGTTAACAGGTCGGCCATCTTGAATTTTAGCGCCGCGGGCGAGAAAACCCCTAAAAATTCCCAACAGCGTATCTATTTGACCACATTTTTCACGTGTACCCTGTTAAAAATGTTCACCAAAATTCAGACGCTCTTGGTACATAAGATTGTGGTAAGACTGATAAATTTCACGTCTTAAAAGTGAATTATTATAGTTTGCAACATATGTTAGAGATCTTGTTTGGAAATGTCATCTGTCATAAATTGGCTGGGACGTTTCGTGAATAATTTTTCGCTGGCAAATTTTATCTCCCGTAGGAGAACTCCGGTGAATTTTACGGTATTTCCTCGCTTCTACGAAATCCAATATGGCCGACCTTGCTTTATCGAATCTTTGAACTCGACCGAGTGCCGATCGGACTGTCTAGCTGCAGTCTTTTGTAATAATACGGGGGAAAAACATGAGCTTCGTACATCTTGCTCTACGAGCGATCGATTTCCGTGGATCATTCGGTGTAAGAGGTTCGCGATCGGGAACCGAACGTCCTATCGATCCGATCGATCTTTCCCTTGGATCCCGCTGACTCTTTCTCCTGTACCGCGCGACGTCGAAACAATATTACCGCGATATAACTGCAAGTTATTTCGATGCTCGAATGGTAGTTTAATTAATCGATTAGTTGACCTGTTAAATTCGTAACTATAATCGTTACACTATAACAATAATAGCAAAATTTTATCTTTTTGTTCTCCTCCCCTTCTACTTCTCCCTCGTCTTTTTTTCTTTCCTTCCTTTTCTCGTACGCCTCCGTCTGCTCCCTCGTGACTTTACAACTATTACGAATATTATTGTTTATACTCGTGTTATGTATCTTTATAATATAATATCGTGTCTCTTGTACCTACTAATACAAAGTTAAAAATGCGGGAAGTTGAAACGCCCGCGAAGGCTCTTAGAGGGAGACGCTTCTCCGAGCTACGTCTCGGCGCTCGATTGTTGAGCTTGCAAAGTCAGAAGATCTTACCAAAACTCCCTTCCAAATGTCAAGCTTAATTGTCACCTCGATTCATGGTCTCTGTATCGACCTTGTAAAGACAAGGGGAAAATTAATAAACGAGGATTGCGTGCCGTTAAGAGAGTACATACACTGGGAGAAAGATCTCTTCGA